TTCTTCACTTTACTGAATCATTGCAATAAAAATTAATTGGCAGCTCATTCTGGGGTGAAAGTGAGGGTTGATAATCCTGCAGAGAACATCGAGAGGGCAGAGACTAGATAACAAACTTGCTATTCCCCTGCCCCACTATCGTACATTTACTCTGCCAAATGAAAAGATGTTGTTAGAGCCTTTGTGGTCAGCTGCATATACTTGTGTCTATCAAGCAGAAATTAAACTCCATTTCATAGATATACTTGAGTCACTGAACTTTTGGGGAAAGTTTTAAGTTCTTGCTGGGGAAAGTATTAGTACTTTTAAATTCAACTAACAGGTCAAAAAGTCAAGCTCCTCTGTATTAATTATGCAGGTTTTTTTTAAAAGACAGCAGGATCAGAAAACTACAGCTATTTTGCAAGGAAATTCAGACAGGGCTTCCTTGAATACAAGTTTTTATTCACCCAACACAGATTTTTATTCAGAATAACCTGACGTTCAGCACAACGCCATTTGACTGTGATAGCTCAAGACCCTGAGTCCCTGGAATGGAAACAAGCTTTCTATTTGGGTATGACTCAGCACAAACATCAGCCCAGGAAGCTGGCAAAGAACACAGCCACTGGAACAAACATCAACTGTGCCACTTGATTAAGGAGCACAGCACTACTTCTTCCAGTTTGATATCCACCCTAACAGTAAAATCCAACACCTAATATTTGACAGACCCTCCACCCAGAAAATCCCCACCAAATTACTGCCTTCTGTCTGTTAAGATTTTGATGACTGACATATTTCTAAAGATGTAAAGATTAATCTTAGTTTAGACACAGCTAACACTCTCCGATAACTTTGCTAGATCCTGAAACTGGCACAAGTGTTGAGCCTACCGGCCCTCAGAAGTAAAGAGATTACTGGGCTCCCCTTTCCACACATCACTTAACGTCCAACTCGTTTTCTCACACTTGGGAGGTGAGAAGGGTGAGTTGCTCTTCATGTGAGAGCAGCTGGAATGCACAGAGCTTTGCCTGGGGAGGGACACTGAGCCAGTCAGGAGCTCACAGGTTAGACACAGATGGCAGACCACGATAGGTGATGTTCTAGTGCATGACTCCTGTAGACTGCCTCATGAGGAGGAAGTATGCAAGGCCTTCTTCAGATGGAAGAGGCCCAACGCTCCTGATATAAGTGACTGAGGAGCCAAGGAGCAGAGATGGTCTCTGATGGACCTCATACTTACAAACAAGAAGTAACTGGGCAGGGATGTGAAGGCTGTAGGGCAAACTCAGCTTCAGTAATGAGAAGGTAGTGGAGTTTGGGATCTTAAGAGGGAGGAAAAAAGCAAAAAGCAGGATAACAACTCTAGAGCTCCAGAGTGGCCTTGCTCAGAGATCTGCTTGGAAGAATCCCATGGCACATAGTCCTGAAGAGATCTAGGTGAGCTTGTTGATTTTTCAAGTGTCACCTCCTCCAACATAAACAGGAAAACAAGCAGAGGTTGACCAAAGAGCTCCTGGCAAAACTCAGACATAAAAAGGAAACATACAGGAGGTAGCAGCAGGGACAAGTCACTGGAGAGAAATACAGAGATGCTGTGTGAGTGTACAGGTATGAGGTTAGGAAAGCCAAGGCCCACCCAATGCTAAATCTAGTGAATCACATGAAGGACAACAAGGACTTCTGTGGTTGCATCTGAATGGGAATGGGGAACTAGTCATAAAGGACATGGAGAAGGTCAAGAGACTGAATGTCTGATCTTTACTGGTAAAGAGCAGCCCTCCAAAACAAATTTCAAATTCAAGACATCAAAACCAAATATTACTGTATCTACAGTCTCTATATATTCTCTTATATATTTAAGAGAACATTTCTGCTAAATCAGAATACAAGGTACTGATAAGAATATTCTTAGCTGGAGCAGAGACAGTGGTCAATAGGAACTTCTTCCACATACCTAGTTTCTGCAGTTTATTAGAAGGCCTCAGACAAGCCAGAAATGCCTAAGTAGCAGTCAAATTCATAGTTTCTACTACACTGAAACAGCAACTGCTGCTTACTCTACATGAACATCAGTAACTGCTGCTTACTCTACTTGAACATGCTTTATTTTTCCGTATCAGTTATATACTCTTTGAATAGAACGTAAAAGAATGTGATTACAGGTTAATATACTGATGTCATAGACTAGATCAGCAAACATTGTCACCACAGCCCTTTGTGTTTTCATGACCCTTAGACAACTGTTCTCAAAGCCAAAACTTTTACAGTAAGAGTAGTAACACACAATTCAACAATTTGTCTGCTATTCGTAGAAGGTGACAAAAATACCTATTAACTTTCTAATGTGTATGCAAAACCAGGATGACTTTTACCTGTTACTGTCATAGGACTGAGTAAGCTACACTCACAGGAGGACAAAAAGTCAGGTCTGACAGAATCTGCCAGCTGTCCCCTCTACAAAACCAACTCTAGACAGTTCAATTTGTATGGTACCTATACAACCACACGCCAAGTCTATTTACCATTACTTTTTACCATGTGGAAAGTACATGCTTAAAGCTCTCAGGCTGCATTACTCAAATGCTGCTCAAGAGCCATTCTTTACTTGGTTTCATTTCCCCGTGAGAATTTTGTCATGCAAGTGGGGAGAAGTTTGTTCTGATTTTGACACACAGTTTGCGTCTTATGATTACTATTCCTTGCACTTAAGAAGTGTGCTAAGGTTTCAAGTCACCATCTTTTCCTCATCTTTACTTTTCCATTAAAGGCAAGAAGCATTACCGTATTATGCTTGTTAAGCAGAATTTATTTTTATTTTTTCAAGAAATGCAACAGAGTTCCAAACTGCAAAACAGCCAGAGATGCAGAGCTCCAAAATTAAAGTCTTTTCTGTCACCCCCCAACAGCTCTTAGGGATCCCCCTCAATATATACAGAGTAATAGTAGTAAGTGAGCTACATCAAAATTTAGTGTACTCATTCTCATTACATAGATCTTAACAGTTTTCACCACACAAACCAACCAAAACATCACAGGTTGTTGGTTATTACAGTAAGACAGTTACTCTCCTAGTTAACAGCCCACTGCCTACACCATATGACTAGGTCTTCTACAGTTTATCCACTGTTTTAAGTTACAGGTGATAAGGTATAGACATGCCATGGAACCCTAACTCTATATTTCTCCATTTCTGCTCAGATTCTTTACCTCAGTCCTAAAGATACAGAATACCTCAAGCATAGTAACATATGCTCTTACATTTCTGTACTGACACTGAATAAATATTTTAATAATAATAAATTCTCTTTCAAAAGAAGTGAAACATGGAAGTTTTATTGCAACACTGACCTCTGAAAATAATTCAAATGTTATAGTTCTGTAAGTTTTGAAACGCCCATGCAACAATGGCTGTCAGTTAAGAACCTTAAAACTAGAACAAGTCTATTCCAATGCAGAAAAGCCTTTATCACTACTAAACATACACTCTTACTCTGTTACAACAGAGTTGTTTCCAGATGCTTTGCTGGTACATCTGTCTTAGAGGTTTATTGTCCCTTATCTGGTGAAGCTTAGCAGTTCCAAAGGAAGGAATAATTCCAGAAGATTCAGTGACATAAACAAACTGTTAGGTGAGAGGCACCCAAAAGGTTTCAGTGATCCTGAAATACCAAACGGCCTGATCTGGGCTTACAGCAATGGTAACAGTTCTCCAACTAAACCAGCAATTGTTTGTTTGGTTGGTTTTTTTCCAACATACAGATCAGCACACTCAAGTTTATGAATAAATGTGTTGACCTCTTACTTTGGTTAGGTTTTGTGGGGATTTTTTGTTTGTTGGCTTGGTTTTTCCCCCCTATTACTGAAAAGAATTAACAACCTAATATTCAGTTTCAGTTCTTACATGGAATGAAGTAAGCATCTTCTTATAGTGAGTTGCTATGGAAATAGTATTTCACAACTGGACCTCTGCTGGAACAAAATGTAGAAAAACCTCAAAAAATAAGCTCTTGTTTCTGAGAATCAATTGCTTAAAGACACATGGACTAAGCACGAGGCCCAGATAGCAGACAACTTTAGGGACTAGTCCAAGACTTGTACCTCCCATAAAACAGAACATCTAACTTCCTAGTGATACATCAGACAGTCTCCCTTTTTTTCCATGTGCCCTCAAATAATTATAACTGGTATCTACACAGCTTGACTGAACTGGCGAAATCCTATCTGCAGATTAATGTATCAGTTTGAATGTGATATTCCTCTCAAAAAACCCCTAACATCTACACTCCTCTTCAGTCTGTAGGTTTGAGGGATGTGCATTTTTTAAACAGAAAACTGATGCAAACTAAAATAAATCTGTTGCACTTTTTCTTGATGTACATAGCCTGCACCTCTAAAAGAGTATTATTAGATGGATAAATTTCCTACCACATTTCTTCCAAGACATTTCACAGGAAGTCTTCGCCTTGAATTACCACTCAAATTCTTCACGGCTAGAACTGACAGATTATAGCAAACCTTTGAGGCTGTTATAACTTTAATTCCTCTAGTGCAGCCCTTCATAACTTCAATGCTGCCCTCATAATTCTTTGGCGAGAGACTGTTTTACACTGAAATTCTATCTTCCACATGCAAAGAAGGGAAGGAAGTTATTAAGGAAGAAATACAGCATTTGTTTGAAGTCACACTGGCCACTAAAGAATTCTTCTAACCCAAGGATATTGAATAACTGATCCCAAATTTGCACTCCAGCCATTAAGAAACAGAACTAGTACGGCATGTATTTTTAAAGAGAGGATGCAACAGTCAGATCCCTTCAAAATAAATCTTCCTGCAGATAATAAACAAGATTTTCTTCTTCTTTATATCCAGCCAATAGTTTTATCATTCTAACAAGAACTTGAACTGTCAAGGGTTGTACATAAGATGAAAAACCGCGGTCTGGGAAACTGCTGGTTATCTTAGGCAACAAGGAAAAATCAGAACTTGCAGCTGTCCTGGATGTAAAAAAAGGCTTTTCAATTACTGAAAGACTTGGATAGATCAGATGCATTTTTCAGCAATTCAGTAATTCCTCTTCCTCGCATGGTACTTGTTCCACAGAGGGAAGTCTTCACATCACATGGAGAATCACCTATTACATTAAATACAGTTTGCAAATCAATTCAGCCTTTAAAGCTTGCATAAATTAATAGAATTGTTCTTCATATGCTATGGAGCTGAACCTATTCAATAGCTCTAATACAAGAAGTCAGACACAGGGGTAGCATCCCCTATAAACACTAAGATCATAAGAAGTCATGGTTTATAATTGGAATGGTTTGGAGTCTAATTCAGCATGTATTTTATCAGCAAGAAAATAACTGGAAACGCAGAATTCTTATATTTATTTGTTTTGCAGACTCGATTCTGTTCCTCTGAAGATTAGCCATGAATTGCCCAGACAAATCGAGCTCACATGCCTTCTATGAAAAAAACTTTTGTCTCCAGAGTGACAACTTTAAACAAGCAGTCTTTATAAACCAAGTTGTAATGGAATACTTGCAACAAGTACCAGCTGAGTCTGCACATTTAATGACTTAAGAGCAAGCAGAATATGTTAGAGATGGCCCTGCCTCAAGACACCCAAGCCTATGAGCATGGATTTCAGGTAGCAGAAAAATAAGGGGGTATAAATCAGAGAGCAACAATTATAAGAAAAAATAAATTCTAAGAGACTTTTTTTGACCATAAGACTGTATCCAGTAAGAACAGGGCAGCTCTTTACATCTACATTTTCAGAAATAGTGAAACTGTATGCAGGAATAAGCACAGCTCATGCAGAGCTGTTTAAGCTTTATGCTACTGACAGGCAACATATAAGCCCAGAAATCTGAAAAAGCAGCAATTGGATTAAGTTTAAATATCTCTTTCCCCTTACAAATGTCAAAGTTTCAAACTCACAATTAGAAGGGACAAGCTCTTGATCCTGATCTGGAGAAGTGAAATGTCTGTCACATCCAGGATGCTCAGCCTTCATTTTCTGTATGAAGAAATAAACCATTCAAAATAATATATGTATCTTCTAGAATGCAGTATACACAACTACCCGTGAAACCTATGAATTATGGACAAAAACCACACGAAATGACCCAGCTAGTGATTATTTTTCTATCATCAGTCTGCCCAATATATGTCACCAAAGACAGCATCCAAAGAGGAATCAGCTAACCTGAAACTGACAAGTTCAAAACACTTGGGTTAAACAGAAATCAAATATGATATCAGTTTAAAGAATCAGACCTGAAAACTTCCAGCATCCAGTATCACCGTCTTGGTACTTGTGCTTTCACCATAACCAGTGTCTTGAAGAGGCAGGTGAGCTGCTGTCAGTGAGACTCCATACAAAGTAGCTAAAGATTTACTGATGCAATAACTTGACCGAGAAAAAAAGAAAACAAGAAAGTTTGGCTAAGATTTTTTAATGCTACTGTACAGACACACAGCATTTTTAGTTCTTCAACTGGCAAACAAAAGCAACCACAGACCGAGATGCACAAAGCAGATGACAGAGGGCACAAACACATTACCTCTGCAGCTAAATAGTCACCCTGCATCCTTCCAAGACCACCAGGCTATTCTACAACTACACATTACATTAAAACAACTGCTTCCCCATGCTATCTGATACAGCCACTTAGAACTGTGAAAAGCCATTTTTTTTTTCTGCAAGGCATAGCAGTACATAACAAGAGCTTTTTGAGTGAAAGACTACTCAAAGTGCTGCTACCATTGCTGAGATTTTAAATGTCATTTCTTTGTTTCCCAACTATTTACTTTCCCATTCCCCACACCAAAAAAATTACAGAACCTTATGTACCTAGATTATACGGAAGACAGTATAAAAGTTTCCAAAGTAGAGATATACTAGAATATGCTGAGAATTTCTTACCAAATAAAGGTACACTAAACCTCTGAAGAAAAACAGTGATTTTTAATGTAGTTAACACTTCTCTCAACTCTTCAGTAGTAAGTAGAGGTAGTGAAAGGATGACTACAGAGTGATGGACATTAGATGTAATGTAACTTCTGTGATACTAAGTCCTAAGACTTACAGCATACTGCTAAGCCATACAAGCAATAATGAAAGTTACAAATAGAACAAAATTGTGGGGATAGAGGAAATAAGTAAAACTCAAAATCTAGAAGTACAGTGCTCCAGGCAGTCAGAGAAGCCGAAGCCAGAAGTGAGCGTCTATAACAAAACAAGTTTTCACACTGGAGATGACTCCTTAGCAATACTCACGCCATTTTCTTACAGGATGCCAAAGCACAGCAGAATATATCATTCTCTTCATGCCACTTGCACCTACATGAAATGAAGTTCAGGCTTATTTCAGAAGCATCTACATCTATTTAATCATAACTAAACTCTAAGCAGTTTATGCAGAGTTAAAAGTAACGCTTAACAGGCAACCTGCTTCACACTCAGGTCAGGGGGAAAAGGAGAAAGGAGAATCCTGAGACAAATGGAATTTAAGGGTAGCAATTTGAAGCTTCCCATTAATGTGGAATAGTTCATCTTAGTAGAAGGATCCCCACTTTCCTCTCCAAGTATGTGTTTTAAAGTATATTTTTCCATTCTTGTTACAGTCTCCCTCAAGTGTCAAGATATTAATGAAAATGGAAAACTGACTGAATATAAAAAGATAGTGACATTGATTATCCTAATGGATCTTAAAATCTATACTGTAACCAGACTTCCAAGATTTTTTTTTTAAATATCTACTAAAATTTAGATCAAATTATTGGCTCTTACTTAAAAAAAAAGCTAAAGTCCATTTCTAAGTTGACTGTGTCATCACTAAATACTGTCCTACCACCACCACAAGCTACACACCATTTCTTTGTACAAATACGGAAGAATCTGAAAGCAGGAAAAGCTTTACTCTTCAAGACACACAGGAGAAAAAAGGAAAAAATCCTACACAGCAAACAGGATTCCGGATGTGTTACAAGGAACATTCATTCCAGAATTAAAAGAATAAGATAGGATTTAACTTAACGTTTATGCTCAAGAACTTGATTTATACCACTGGTAAACACATCTTGTCCCTCATCACAGTAGCAGCATGAGCTAGAGAGCCAGGCCACATCCATATTACACTTCTAAAAGTCTGAAACTTCTCAACTTATGTGATTTCCAGTTAAATGCCACACTGTATTTTATTCCCATTTTTTTACTCCATCCTTTAAATTAGGCCTCAGACTCAGCATTAAAAAGCCATATAACTTTATACTTCTTTTGGGAAAGTATTTTTCATTTCTAATTGTAATCATGATGTGACAAGACGCATTTCTGATCAGGCTTGCAGAACATTCTAGCCTAGCAGCATACAACCTGTACATAGGGCACCAAGACACATCAGGCTGATGCACAACCTAACAAGAACAACCCAACATACCTGGTATTACTGGAGAAATCCCAAAGGAAGACATCCAGTTCTTGACACACCCAAGTCTTGGATGGCTCCTTTTGGTATTTCTTCTGGTACAGTTCCTTTACTAGGTCTTCTACAGCAAGAAGTTCCACATGGCTCTCAATGCCTATAGCTCAGGAAAAATCCAAGTCAGGAGAACAAGAGTCAGTGAATATTCTGCTCAGCTCACTTCTCAGTCAGTCCCTGTTTACTGCCCAGTTTCTTACCAGAGCATCAAAGCTCCTGTAAACCAAAACAAGTTATGCCACCAGTGGTTTTAATAAAACCTGGCTTCCTAGCAAAGTGGGTCATCCTATATTCCCATAATATTCTCCGCCTCAGTAATTATGTATCCTAATTGTGGGCCACCTCTCCTCAGAAGCTGCTAGTTTTTCCCTGTGCTACCATACACTCACCTTCACAGTAGTCTCACTGCCTCTAGTGATCCTTTAACTGGCTGAACAAGCAACAGTGTATGCTATTCTATGGATGTGCTCATTAGCCAGTTAGGTGATAATGGTGCTGGTTTACTGTCACTGATGGGGAGGAATAGAACAAAGTAGTTCTAGCTATTAGTACCAGCTTTTATGAAGCCTTATGAGACCCAAAGATTTTCTGACAAATACAACTGTCCATGATTACACAACCTTTCATTCTTGGTGGGGGTAGGGAAGGGGGGCCAGGGGCAGATCATCAAAACAATTCAGTTTCCTACCTGTTACACTAGCCATTCGACTGAGACACCAGCTAATTCGGAATCTGTCATCAGACTATAGGAAAGAAAATTTCAGTCACATTGAAGAAGTACAGTATATAATTCTGACATCTGCTAGACTTCTGATTACATCTGAAAAAGTCACTTCAAAAACTAAGTTCAATGTGGAA